AACTTGTTGTTTTTTTACTTATATTAAAAAATGTTTAATAATCGCCAAATGAGTACCTCAATGACCTTAAATTCCTTCCCAGTCTCTAAACTAATTTTTACGAAATTTACAAGGAAGCTGAAGTTGTTTACTGTACAAACTAATTAAAATTTCTTTATCCATTAAAAAGTTACAGATTTTTAAGTAGATTCGTTATAGTTCCGATACAATTCGTTCCCCAAGTTCTACAAGGTTTTCTCTACCAGTATTAAATGTACTTAGTGAAAAAACAAAACATCTTCTGATAAAAATTTTGCACAAAAAGTTTCTTTTTTGCAAATAAATCACCAAAAATTATGCGAAGGTTTTTTATAGTCACATTTATTCTTGCTTTTGTAGGTTTTTCCAAATAGTCCTTCTATATAAAGAATGATCTAAGACCTCATGGTTTGATAAATTTGATACATTTTCTGCAATATGCGTATGATACCTTATCAATTCTTTTTAATTTAAATAAATTTCGTATATTGAAGTATACATACTAAGGTAAAACCACCCCCCTCCCTCATACTGGTAAAAATTGCCAAAAATTTTAAAGCTTTTACTTTTTTTTTTTTTTTGAACGTAATTAGTTTAAAAAACCATGATTTCTTTAAAATTCCATCTTAATCGACCGGCAATATTATATATAGCTCAGAAAATTCTCTCTCTACCACTATGTTGTTATTTTATGTCCCTTCAAAAATATTCTTTACATAATCACGACCTTAGCTCCCATAGCCATTTTAAAATAAATCTATTCTTCTTTAATTTAAAATATATTTTTATGACAGATTTATTATTAGTCACACACACTAGACACTTCCATTTCATTCCAGTCTGTTAGTATTATTTTTTTTTAATTCCTAAACAAAGGTTTTAACGTTTCTCCATTCAACCATATTTATACTTTATCTCATTAAAATTGAAGAAACATCCAACTACGCCAAACAATTGATATGACTTAAGTTTCATTAGGAATTCTAATGAACACACACAGGATGGTTGTTAACACTTCCTCCCATTTTCTGTCTTTATCGTCGCATCCATTCAAATTGGTCTGTCTCTGCACTTACATATTTACTTCGTCTGAATTATGTGAGGCAAGAAAAATAACACCACCATCAGCTCACCAGAAGAATGACGATGACGACCACCACCACCACCACCAACCCAACCCAACCAGTATTTGCCATTACCATCGTGCCATGTTAGAGAAGCATCCATCCATCGCATCGCATCTGTTTAAGATGAGGTGTTTATTACCAGGCACTTACTTACAGAACCAACAAACAACACCTCTGCTAAGCTACCACCAGAGCACCACTTCCACGACCACGACAGGGCCACAAAGATATCCAGTTCAAATGCGCTGGGTTTCAGCCGCATCATTTGTTGGAGTCGTTAGTTTTTTTTTTTTTTTTTTGGTTGGAGTTTTGCAGCGCCAATGTTTCAGGCACTCATTTAGGTAACGCCCACATTTACAAATAAATTTACAGACAAATAACAAACAACTACTTTGCTGCAGAATTGTATGTACAAATGTATGTACAATTCTATGTTTTGTATACAGAACTGTACATACAGATGTACATACATATGTTTGTATTTGAAAATACATGCAAAGACGTACTAAAGGAAAAATGTGCTGAGTGCACAGTGATTTGAAATGAAATGCCCTTCAGCCCTAAGACCCACAAGAAGCTCCTAGAAAAAATTGTTTTTGATACCAAAAATCCTAAAAAAAACTTAAATTCAAAATGAAAATAAAACTTTAAAATCCGTGATATTTGATTAAAAAGTTACTTTAAGGAATTTTGAAAAAAAAAAACTTAATTTTTTGATCGGAAGGTTCACAAAAATAATATTTAATTTTTGAACCAGTTTTTTGAATCATTCTTGGAAGACCTTCAGATTTATAATGAATTACAGAGCTATTAGAGTGGATTTTTAAAAATTTTCTTCTAACGACTTTAAGAGCCATAAGCGTGGATTTTTTAAAAATATTTTTTCAAAGACTTTCAGAGCTGGATTTTTTAAAAAATATTTTTCAACGATTTTCAGAGCTGTAAGCCTGGATTTTTTAAAATATATTTTTTCAATGACTTTTAGGGTTGTAAGCCTGGATTTTTAAAAAAATATGTTTTCAACGACTTTCAGAGCTTTAAGTGGATTTTTTAAAAATATTTTTTTCAAAGACTTTCAGAGTCAAGCGTAGATTTTTTAAAAATATTTTTTTCAAAAACTTACAGAGCCATAAGCTTGGATCTTTTAAAAATATTTTAAATAAATAAATATTTTTAATAAATAAATAAATAAATATTTTTCAAAAAATAATATTAGTACCATCACTCGTTACCTTGATACTGGTAGCGTAGCCCGACGTCAAGGAAGTGGACGGAAGAAAACAGCAACATCAGCAGAAATGGTTCGAAAAGTAAAGAAGCGACTTGATCGAAACCCGCGTCGCAGTGGCTGAAAAATGGCTCGTGAGATGAACATATTGCAATATTTCATTCGGCAAATATTGAAAAATGAGCACGAGGTAAAGCCATTGAAATTCAAAAATGTGCAAGAACTTACACCGCTACAGAAAGAAAATATACTCAAAAGAAAGTGATGAACTGCCGAATTTTGTAAAGGTAAAGTACTCAGAAGGAACTCCTTTTGTGAATTTTCAAACAAGTTCATTGAAAAATTTGGCTACAATCATCAAATTACCGATAATCGGGCGTACCGTTATATGGGAGCTATACGAAATCGTGGACCGATATAGCCCATATTCGAACTTGACCTGCCTGCAAACAAAAGACTTATCTTTGAAAAATTGTTGCTTCCTATCTTTATTCGTTTTGACTCTAGCGTGATTAATACAGACGGACGGACAGGGCTAACTCGTCTTAGCATTCTACTCATACTTTGTTATGTCTAAAATTATGATTTCGATGAGTTACAAACGGAATGACGAACTTAATATACCCTCCATACTATGTATAGTGGAGGGTATGCAAATCCACGTTCATAGCTCTGAAAGAAAAAAAGAAGGAAAGAGAAGGAAAAAAAAAACAAGAATGTCCTTGAAAAAAATACTTGAAAAAAATCGATGCTTATAATTTATGAAAAATATTTTTAAAAAATCCAAGCTTATACTTTAAGAATTTTTTTTTTTTTAAAAAATCCGCGCTTATAATAAGAAATTTTTTTTATATAATTTAACAAAAAATATTTTTTAAAAAATCGGCGCTTTAATAAAATTTTTTTTATATAATTTAACAAAAAAATTTTTTTAAAAAAATCCGCGCTTATAATTGGAAAAATATTTTTAAAAATAACCTAGGAAAAATATTTAAAAAAATACACGCTTATAATTTAGGAAAAAACATTTTTAAAAAAAAAAATTTTAGAAAAAAAATATTTTTAAAAAATCCACGCTTGTAAATTTAGAAAAAAAACATTTTTAAAAAATCCACGCTTGTAAATTTAAAAAAAAAAACATTTTTAAAAAATACACGCTTGTAAATTTAGAAAAAAAAAAACATTTTTAAAAAATCCCGGCTTGTAAATTTAGAAAAAAAAAACATTTTTAAAAAATCCACGCTTGTAAATTTAGAAAAAAAAACATTTTTAAAAAATCCACGCTTGTAAATTTAAAAAAAAAAACATTTTTAAAAAATACACGCTTGTAAATTTAGAAAAAAAAAACATTTTTAAAAAATCCCGGCTTGTAAATTTAGAAAAAAAAAACATTTTTAAAAAATCCACGCTTGTAAATTTAGAAAAAAAAAAACATTTTTAAAAAATCCACGCTTGTAAATTTAGAAAAAAAAAACATTTTTAAAAAATCCACGCTTGTAAATTTAGAAAAAAAAAAACATTTTTAAAAAATTCACGCTTGTAAATTTAGAAAAAAAAACATTTTTAAAAAATCCACGCTTGTAATTTATGAAAAATTACTTGAAAAAGAACACGCTTATAATTTATGAAAAATTATTTAAAAAAAAATCCACGCTTATAATTTATGAAAAATTATTAAAAAAAATCCACGCTTATAATTTATGAAAAATTATTTTAAAAAATCCACGCTTATAATTTATGAAAAATTATTTTAAAAAATCCACGCTTAAATGTATGAAAAATACATTTTAAATTAAATTTTTAATTTAGAAAAAAAATATTTTTAAAAAAATCTACGCTTATAATTTAGGATAAAATATTTAAAAAAATCTACGTTTATAATTAGGGGAAAAATATGTTTAAACAATCCATGTTTATAATTTAGAAAAAATATATATTTTTAAAAAATCCAGGCTTATACATTAGGAAATGTATGTTTATGTTCCCTTAAATCCATTTCTTAGGCCACAGTATTCTTCCATTTTTGTCCTATCTTAAGCATTGCCTCTAAGAAGTTCCAGCTTCTTATATTTCTTTCGTGGAACAAAACCAGCCACTCTCTTCTTATGTTGTTTCTTTTTCTTCTCCATTTTCACGATTCTCTTGGCCGTAATTAGGTGGTGTGAAAAAAAGTTGGTAAAAAACATTACCCCCTCTCCACGCTAACTATCCACACAAATCATGTGCTAAAAAAAAAAGTTTTTTAAAGGTGAGTATTCCACAGGAATGTTGTTGCAGGGGAGCTATATTCCAGATTCCAGAGAATTTGCTGCTCTCTGAGCTCCAGCATGGCAGTGTGGAGAGAGTTGGAGAAAAAAAGTTCAAGGCAGTAAAATTTAAAAACAAAACAAGAGATGTTGCCACCTTTGGCAAGAGCTCTAATGTGTGCTCTTTCTCTCACGTGCCATAAAGCTTCGCATAAAGCATCGGCCCCCGTTTGCATTGGTTAGAAGGCAATGGCATAAGGTTTATTGGTTGGGTGACTGACTGGCTGACTGCCTGGTTTGTTGGTTGGTTTGTTTGTTTTGAGCCAGCCAACTGCAAATGCCACAACCACAACAACGACGACCATTTGTCGTCTCCAATGCCTGGTGATGGCTTGACGATGAAAGCGCCGTCGTCGTCGTCATCATCATCGTCTGCTGTGTGTTGAGCATTCACTGTTCCATGCTGAAGAGTTTAGTTTGCTTGAGATTTCAAGTCAATTAACAGTGAGTGGAACTTTCAGCGCGTTACCGGTTCAGTGGCTATCAAAAAAAAATAACGCATTGACCAAATAGAACCCTTGCGGGAATTTTTCAGGCTGTTTGAAAATAAAGAGAGGGGGATGGGCGCAAGGTAACACGCTTTATTATTAACGTGTGGTTATGTTAACAATGAACATGGCCCATTAATTCGAAATCCGCTAATTGCTGCCACAACAAAGTCGAAAAAAAACCGGGTATGGCAACTTGAATAGCTACACTCTGTGCACGGGCGCGTACACTTCGCATGTATATAGTTGGTTGTCAGAGTCGGTCACACTAGCGGGGCAAACAAACGTTAGATAATCGCCGTCTAGCCAAATGTTTCAAAGTTGTTAAACTTACATGAATGTGCGTGAATTTTGGGCTTAACCGAGAGTCGAGCTGAGCTGAGCGTGAGTGCCGTATTGCGTGCCGGCCAAAAGTGTTGCGTCTGAAAGCCATAGCTGTAATTTTTTGAGTGTGTATGTGTGTGTGTTTGAGTGTCTGTAAGCATTTAAAAACAATTTGTTCAAATTACAGTGCATTGCGGGTTTTATTCGAAAACGAAACGTCAAGCCGCTGCTGCCATTGCATCCCGAAAATGCAACCGCCAACCACAAACAATGCAACAACGCTCGACCATTCAATGGTAACGGCGTTAACAGCTTGTTGTTGTTATTGTTTTTGTTGTTTCAACGCCAAAGCGTAACGGTTATGCTCCATTAGTCTCAATCGATTTTGGCTTGTTGGCTTTCGATAATGCCTTGCATTTAACTGTCAACCGTTACGAATTGAGTTCAATTAAAGCGGCAAGCGACAAACGCCCGCTGCCTTTGTTGTGACGTGTATTGTGCGGCCAAGACCCCCTAAACACAAATTAACATAACAATATTTATTTAGAAAACAAAAGCAAAAAATGTGCCAAAACCCAAGCATTTAAACTCCGACAAATTTTTTGTGAAGAGAATCTGTGTTTCAAATCGAAGTCGGAAAAAAATAATATCTAAGAAAAACAACAACAACTACAACATTTCAATACAATTTCGCCAATGGTCACGTGTAGCCGACGTCAAACATTGACAATGCTGCCCCTGGTGCCGATTAATCCATTTAACGTTGCCAGTAAACCTAGCCCGGCGGCTTCAGTGGCAACAACAACAATTGTAAGTAACCAAAAAACGGTGGCAAGCACAGCTACAATGCAGAGCAAACCCAAGCTGGCATTTAGCATAGACGCTTTGGTGGGTGGCGAACGAAAGAACGACACAACTCCACCCTCACCAGTTCAAAGGCTAAGGATTATTGGTCCGCCACGACTTAATAACAATTCACCGCCAAATCACCATGAATCCCAGGAACCTTTGGAACTGAGAAGTAGTCGTCTAAAACCCTCATCATCCACATCACCACCACCTCCGCCGCTCCACTTGAATCGTACAACATCTGTGATAAATCGTCCAATCGCCCAGGACAGTGATCCTCCAGAAAGTGGCAATTCACCCATACGTGAGTGCTCATCACGGGATCAAACCCAATCTCCCATACCTGCTACAGATCATCCGCACAGTAGTCGCTCCACAACGCCTCTACACTCCCCCCGCGAGGCCACCTCACCCACGGAACAAAGGCTATTCAAAACTTTACCCACTCTACCACCGGGCCTCGTGCGACCATTTCCCCTACCGGCACCGGGTAGTTTACCTCTAATAAGGCCACCCGATGGACAACCATCTAATTTACCCCCGCTACTGGGTCACACATCCAGTAATCCGTTAATGCCACCCTCACCCACAGCTCCAGCACCCACATCTAATCCTCATCTTTTGGCTGCCCAATTTCAAATGGCCGCCGTTCTGGCCCATCATCAACAGCAGCAGCAACAACAACAACATCATCAGGCAGGACCTCATGGCGGACCGCCAGGCGGACCCCCACCACCAGGTCCACCAGCTCCACCGCCGCCAACCCATCACCTGCCTCCTCACCTAATGCACGGCCATCATTTGGGATTATTTCCACCGGGACCACATCATCCGCCATTTGGTAATCCACATCTCATACGGGACACATATCCCTTGTATCCGTGGCTGCTGTCGCGTCACGGGCGTATCTTTTCGCATCGATTTCCAGGTGAGTTGTCCCCTGTCGTATTGTTATTGCAGATTGTTTGTATTTTTAAGAAATTTGCGGAATTTTGGGGAAATTATAGAAAGAAATTCCTTTTAAAGTTTCTATTTTCTATCTGAGTTCAAAGAAATTTGTAACTAAACTCTTAAAAGTTCTTAGAACAGGTTTTTGCAACACATTCTAAATTTCGAGAAAATCGTAAACCCCGACTTTCATATGGAGGCTATGCCATGATAACTTTTCAAATTAAGTCATTAATAAAAAAAATCTTTATGACATCGTTGGTGTCATTCATACGTGTTCATATGCCACTTTGTATTGAAAATTGTATTGAGGAGATTTTCTTAACATTTGACCCCGTATTATATTTTTTGCACATATGGAAATTATAGGGACTTTTGACATTTTGTTTGTAATGGTAAAATCTAGATCCACATCAAAATTCAGCATTGAAGACATTTTTTAAATTGCCTATTTTGACTGCACTACTATTGCTTAACTTTTAAATAATGTGGATTACACTATTTGTGTTATATGAAAATTACACTATGCAACACGGCGCAAAGAGAGGAAAGATTCGGATTAAGATTCCTCGGAATCCATGCATTTTAGATATAAAGTTTCTGGGACAATACAAAGAATACTTTTGTCGAAAATGTTAACACTCAAGCGAATTAAAAAAGGAATCTTTTCGGTCCTGGTTAAAAACACCCTTTAAACGGAATCGTAGCAATTCAAAATATTCTGCGAAGATATCATTCGATTGAAACATATGGCAAATACTGTTACAATAACTACAAGTAAAATTGTAGTAAGTTCGGCCGGGCCGAACTTTGAATACCCTCCACCATTTAGAACGAATTTGAAAATTTTCGAAAAAGACAACATTCGCCAAAAATTCTGTTAGCATTTTAAAAAATAACATTTTTAAAAAAAGTAACATTTCACATGCCTGTACGACGTGCACCTACATAGGCATTGTTTGTCACAAGCCATTACCATATTCAAATTCGAAATTTGAAATAAACGGTGAATAATGTAGCCAAAATCATCAAAATAACGTACATAGGGAGGTACCGTTATACGGGAGCTATACGAAGACCTGGACATGTATGACAATTTTCTGTACAGGCTCTAGCTTTCATTATGAACTGCAAATACGACATCTCAAACAATTTCGGTGAGTATTGTACCTAAAATCGTCAAAATACCGACCTGGACTTGCACGGACCTGTGTAGACAATTATCTGCCTTAGGCTGTAGTATCCATTTCGAACTTCAAACACCAAATATGAAACAATTCCGGTGAATAATGTCGCTAAAATCATCAAAATACCGAATATCGGAGGCTACCGTTATATGGGGGCTATATGAAAACGTGGACCTACATGGCCCATTCACTATGCCTACTGGCAAAATAAACATGTGTGCAAAATTTTAGCCTTCTATCTCAATTCGTTCGAAAGATATCGTGATTGCAACAGACAGACAGACAGACGGACATGGCTAAATCGTCTTAGAATTTTACGCTGATCAAGGATATATATACTTTGTTTGGTCTAAGATCATTATTTCGATGAGTTACAAACGGAATGACAAAATGAATATACCCTCCATAGTATGGTGGAGGGTATAAAAATCAGAGATATTATTATATTAGAGATAAAAAAACTGCAACAAAGTCAAACGCCATAATTTTTACTATTTTTTAAATGTTATTGAATGAAAGCAAACAATGTCGGAAATAGCATCAAATTTTAGAAGTTAAGTTTAGATTTGGTCGAATTAGTCACCTTTGGCACAAATTATGGTCTTCAAACGACCAATGAAACCGTCACACGCTCCCCGAATGTTGCTCTGCGGTATTTTGGCCCATTCCCGACAAGTGATCAACACTTTTGTGTTTTTTAGTGCCAACCTTGCTTTCCAAAATACTCCAGACACAATGGTCCAGCGGATTGGTATCCGGAAATTTCTGTGGCCATTGTACGCTGGAAATGAAGCGAGGAACCTAATTTTGTAACCATTCTTGGGTGACGCGTGCTGAGTCCTGTTGGTGCTGTCTGCGGACAAAATGTTTGCGTGATCAAGGCTTTAATACACCCTCCAGAATATTTTCGCGATAATATTCGGTATTTATTCTGATGCCACGGTAGATTAATACGAGCGGAGAGCGACCATCGGCTGTTATGGCAGCCCACACCATCACCATGGTCGGCGCTTGAGTTCTGGTGGCCAACCGAAGGTTCAGCTGACCTGTTCGGCAAGTAAACACGATAATTTTGTTTGTTCGCAAACTGCTGAATGTTTTCCCATCGGAGAAAAGCAAATTCGACAGTTCACCACTTTCGGCCAAGCGAAGCTTTTCTTTAGCTCTTTTGAGTCCATTTTCTTTCTGTTTCGGTGTAAGTTCTTGCACTTTTTTGCATTATGGCTTGATCCCGAGCTCATTTTTCAATATTTGCCGAATGGAGCCACGAGCCATTTCTCGGCCACTGCGACGCGCTTCTTTACTTTTCGAACCATTTCTGCTGATGTTGCTGTTTTCTTCCGTCCACTTCCTTGACGTCGGGCTACGCTACCAGTATCACGGTAACGATAGCCACTAGTGGTTTTCCAGCCAAATAAAAACGTTTTTATGATTTGTTTAAAATTTCGAATTAAGAAGCTGTTATGGGTTCTACCTCCTGTAGCATAATATTTTCTATATAGATCTACGTTCTTCCATAGCCCAATGCCAGACATATATCCATAAGGTCCGTTTAAAATTCGTTTAAAATGGAAATCTTTAGAATATTAAATCCAAAGGCTTTTATTTATAAATGTTTTTCTTTCCTTGAACTTTTTGGGCTACTTAAGAATATTTTTGTAGTTTGCTATACAAAATCTTAAAATATTAAGAATTTTCCGCCCAAAACCTGTAGTTTGTTAAAAATGATTTTTTTCTTTTTTCCTTAATTTTCTGCTTTTTTCAAAAAAATATATATATATTAATTGGAGCGCAAACATTACTGATATTTAATTTTTAAAATTTCAGAACAGGAATATATTATTGTTCTTCACAAAAAGTTTTCATGAAAGTTTTAAGAATTTTTCACAGCTACATCCTTTGTTTAGTTTGTATAAACTTTTTTCAAATGGCATTGACATGTCAGAATTTCATAACCATTTTTTAATTTAAGTTATTAGAAGTTTTGCTACTTGTGGCAAATCCAATAAATTATTTAATATAAAATTGAAAAAGGTAAAAAAAAAAGTTTGAAAAATGGCTTTGACATGTCAGAATTTATGAGTAGACAAGGAAATTGATGTCCTGAAACAATTCACTTATGAATGTAATATTATTTACGGGAAAACCTCGGTACAATTTGGAGTATTTTCAAAAATGTTAAAAAATCCAAACTTATCTCAAGCCAAAGTAACAATTGCGATTCATATGCACTTTTGACACGTTTAACCAGTAAGAAAAGTTCAAAAGTCTGGCGGGACCGATTATATGATACCTACACCACTATGCGTATTTAGTAGAGCTCCCCTAACAAGAACAGTTTATATTGGCAATTTATGTGCAGTAGATCATACCAACTATGAACCTTATTTGAATGCTTTAGAGTAGTCACAATTTGGGAATTATATCCAACTCTGAATCGATTTTCAACAAATTCTTTCTTTTTGCACCTCTAGTATCAAATATCATTGCTGTATAGTGCATGATATGTCTTCGGTTTATTAAATTTATTATTTATTTTATAATATTAAAAAATATTTATTGGGGCAATAGATATACCGGACCGAGTTTCACCAAATGGAAGAACGATTGAATATAAAAATAACTATCCAATTTGGGCTTATGTAACATATAGGGTGAGCAATAACCGTAAAATCGAATGGAGATGTATATCGAAGGTATATAAAAATCTGTGAGGAATTCCGTTGGAAGTGCCAAAATTCAGTTCATTTGGGCGGATTCAGTCCACTTGGTGCACAATGAACCTGAAATCGGAAAAAGATGTATATGGGAGCTATATCCAAATCTGTACCGATCTGAATCTAGGCACTTATTTCTGAGCTGTATCTGATATCTTGTACCAAAGATCATTGTTGTGGAATCCATATTACGCATATGAGGGACATAAACCCCACATCGAATGAACCATATATATGTGATCTACAGCTACAACTGAACCGATTTCCAAGTTTTATATATGTACTTCTTGACTGAATTCCCGAAATTGGTTGAAGATATATACGGGAGCCATATCTAAATTTCCATTGGTTATTTCAATAGAGTTCGTCTTTGGATCAAACAAATGAATTGTGCAAAATTTCATCTCGATCGGGCAATAAATGCGACCTGTATTTTGTTTACAAAATACAGGGTTGCCCATATTCGACGGACTATTGGGCCTTTTGGGCCCATTCCAATCGACGAGGCTTGTCCGCAGGCAACATTCTTTGCGTCAATTGAATTTTGTACGGGAACAAATGCAAATCAATGCGAATAATCCGTTGTAAAGTGGACCGAGCCATGCCCAACTGCTGAGAACGGCGTTTTTGGGATGTTCTTGGGGACCTCTCAACACTGGCTCGTACGGCAGCGATATTCTCGGTCGATCGCCTTGGTCGACTTTTATATGGCCTCTTCGGATTAGAAAGAGCCTTACCAGTCGAAAATTTTTCGTATAAACGCTTAATGGTGTTCTTAGATGTGACATCTCTGTCAAAAGTTATGGCGTTGCCAGATGGGTCCGTCGGATATGGGCAACCCTGTACATGGACGGACGGACCGTCGGACGGACATGTAAATCATCAAAAGGAACTATTGACCTATGTCGATTCCTCCATGTTACAAATAAATACACAAGAAAATGATACCCTGACCACAGGCATAAAACTTGGACGTAGATTACACAGTACAACATACTTTTGATGCAAAAACTTTCCATGTGTCTTCTTCGAAAAATAAATCAAAAATTGAAAATTATCTGTAATTGTAACTGCTA